ATGTGTGCGTGTATCGATTGAAACACAATCTAATTAATTTTGATATGAGAACTACTATAATACTTGTACTTTACGAGATCATTACATTTGTCATTCTTACACATAGCGGTGAATAAAAAAATGAGTGTATAAGAACGTTGTTTCTTAGATGTATTTTAAGATACGCGAAAATGCGAAAGACATATATATATGTATAAATAAGAGCACAATATAAATGCGATGCAAAAAGGCTGAATAGTTAAAGACCTTTATTGCAATACGAAATGCATTCATTCATATCTAAATGGGGGATAAAAAGAAACAAAAGTAAATAATATATCGCGATATTTACCGTATATCGACTAAGACAAAACAGTTTTGGTTGATGATATAATGAAAGACAAAGGAACCAGAACAAAATGAAGGGAAATAATGTAAGTCAAAACAAAATTGCTGTGTCATTAGTAGCGGTACTACTAGGCTATCCGGAAGTAAAAAGGAGTCAGGATCAGGAACCAGCATGAAGGACAAGGATAGAGAGATGACCAAAGCTATTAACGCTGAATTTTCTGATGACGACGAAGAGGACGATAATAAAAGTAATTGGGACGACGACGAAAAGGTAACTCCATAAGAGTGCTACAAATACAGTGATATGCCCGCTTAAATTTCACTAAAATCCGAACAGTTACATTTCCAAGACTCATCCTCACTCTTTTTCCACCAATCACTTCAACGAAGATATCTCAGTAGGCAAGGATAGAGAATACAATGAAAAGAAAGGAAACAGGTACACATCAGTAGGATATCGCGAATGTGAAAAGTAAACATCCAATGAAGAAAATTTCATTTTTCGTAATTTTAGTCCTATTTTTATAATTATAGCACCAATGAATAGTTGAAATTCTTCCGATTAAAACGAGCCCAAACAAGACGCAAATCAGACTAATTTTATTGGTTTAATATAAATAACAGAATTAAATAGATGAATGCTTCAAATCGATAAAACTAGTCCAATTTACGTCGTGTTTGGACTCATTTTAACCAGGAGAATTTTAACAATCCATTGGTGTTACATGTATGAAGGTAAGGTGAAAATGACTGAAAATTGAAATTTTCTCTCTTGTATGTTTATTTTTCGTTGAGTCGTGCTCGCGTCAACAAACTGAACTTGTCCGCGAGAATTTCACAGCTACCTTCGGAGTTTTGTGTAATTTAAACGGGCATCACTACTGTATATACTTTCCTCTATTATGTGTAACTTGAAGTGTGCTATTAACAACGATATTCACTATAATGTTTATCAATATTAATTCAGCCACATGAACGTGATGATGAAGAAGAAGAAGAGGAGGAAGAGAAAAAGAAAAAAGATGATAAACGAAAGAAAGAGAAACAAGAACGGGAGAGACAGAATACTGAAGACGAAGAAGAAAAAGACGATGAAGTGAAAGAAGATGAAGATGATCATAAGCATGAGGTATGTCAGTCTCTGTATGGAATACAAGGCGTTATTATTTATTAAACATAATTTTCCTAATATACCTAGTTGCTACTATTATATTTCAGTTAATTGAACGATATCCAAACAGTGGATGTAACAGAAAGAATCAATGAAAGATAATCGTACCTTGAATTTCATAACGTCTCGATTAAAATAATCTATATTTAAAAGATAATTATAATTCTCCGTACATTGTAAATTCTTTTTCCAATATCTGTGTCGTTAGGATGATGAAGATGATGGTGACGATGAGGAAAGAGACGATAACGATAAAACTGATCACGGTCGAACTACTGGTTCTGATGAGTTGCCCAGCAGAAGAGATGGAAGAAAATTCATTAAATTAACTTGTCCACATTGCGCTCACCGTAGTGTAACATTTAAAGAATACTCGTTGCATTTATACTCGGGTCGTCACAGTGCTGCTATGAGACGAATCGCATCACGCCACAAGGCAACTCTGACGCGTATGCGAGTTTTACAACGACAAGAACAACGGCGTGTCGAAGCTCGTGATGCAGCACGTGGTACTTTACCATCTCGTACCATGTTTTGTCCCATTTGTAAACTGAATTATAGGTCGTTGAAAGCGGTACATCAATTGTCGGAATCTCATCGTCAAATGAAACGATTCCTCACACCATTTTGTAGGGTTTGTCGCATTCAGTTGCGATCGCCAATGCTCTTTGAAACTCATATGTGTTCTTTGGATCACATTAAGGTACTACCATTATGTATTTTATTTCTTTATTGTATTATTTTGTTATAAACTCAAATCATCTCAATCCATCAACAAACTCTGTATTTATTATCTTTTAGAGGAAAAGTGCATTGAAAGAAAGAATGAATGCTGGGAACGGTGAAGCAGAAGCAGATTCTAGTGGGCCCGAAGAAGATGACAAGGAAGTAAATCTTGATAATTTCATGACGTTAGATTCAGTAGGTGATGTTGACGGTACGTTTTCAACTGTTGTTAAATTGCTTTTCCATTTGAAACTGAATATGTATTCGACATACTACAAAATAACATTTTCAGCAGAAGATGAAGAGTCCTCGGAGAAGAAAAAAGAAAAACCAGAAAGCGAGGGTACAAACGAAACGGAAAAGAAGCCTAAGAGTAAGCAGATGATTAAAGTTGGAGCTGAATACATAAAACGTGTCGAAGTTCAATTTTGTGAATTATGTAAAATATATCTGCCACGTAGTGAAAACAGCGAAAGAGCGATAGCACTCCATTGTTCAACTAGAAGTCATCTTAAACGGTATAAATTCATAAATTAATTTTCGTATATCGTTTAAGTTCATGCAATTATTTGATATCAACTATTTTATATAGGTATGTGCGCGATAATGATGATAAAGCATTACGAAGACAAGCGGAAAGAATACATCTACAATCATCGTCATCTGCTAATACAACTTCTACACCAAATACTGTAAATACTACGGAAAACATAAAATCACCAAATAGCTCTGAACCACCGTCTGCAAATAACACATTAGTAGTAACTACCCCTGATGGTACTAACGTCACAGAATCTGGTAAACCAATTGAGCAGAAAGGAAACGCTTCTGAACCTGAAAAAAATATTAAGGACAACAAGAATGGACAGGCTGAAGAAGAAGATGATGATGATTATCCAGGCGACAGTGCCGATAAATTGTGGGATGATGTCGATAAAGATCTAGGCGACATTTTGAGAGAAACAGAAGTAGGAGGTAAATCCAGTGACGATGAAGATTCTCGTTATGATCGTTTCCGTAATTCAGATAAGAAACAACAACATTCTGGGAAAGATAAAGAAAGAGACAGCGAGAAAAATGAAATAGATGAAAAGGAAAATATAAAGAAGCAGGAAGTGAAAGCAAAAATTGAAAAAATAGATATGTAAAGTCCAAGAATTATTAGTACGTTTCAATCATATCCGGATACCAGTTTATTAAATGGCTATATTTCTGTGGTCATTATTTAATATTGTAGTTATTTTTATCAAGATTACATAATTACTTTGAACAATATGAACAAAAGGAATTATGTACAGTAATTTGTTGAATTTCTACATATTTTCTGTGGACAAAAATCAATTAAAGGTTACGAATAATCTTAATTTTAATTATTTCAACCAATTTCTTACATGAATTTGTTAGAAGTAAAGACTTTACGGAGTTCTCAAGTTTTAAGTTTTGTACACACGAACTATTGGACATGTTTGAAATGTACGATCAATATTGTAAACTTCACAATGTTCAATTCCTTTGTAATTCAAGAAGTCACTATTTAAGCACCTTTAGTGACACTAATGTTAACAATAATTGTAAAGGAAGTTATTCATATAAGTATCTTTAAGTATAATTGTGTAAAAGTAGCGATTATTTGTGCATCAAAACCTATTTGGTGAAAATCTTTGGAGAAGAATAAATGTCGATTTTTAATTCTTAATGTAAATGGACGTATAATAAATTCGCTAAACTTCTCACGTATAAATAATTATAATAAATACTATTATATAAATTTTGTTGTACAATCTTATCTGCATATTTTTTATTTTATATCATACATGTTTTTATGGGTAATGCTGCGGTTGAATCGCTTTATTTTCAATCTTCGTGAAATTAACAAATATGTAGAAGGCACAATTTAAACAATTTTTTCATATGACGAAAGTTTTGAAACCTTATAGTTTACGAGATAATCACGAAAAACTTTCGCTACTAGACATTGAATTCTGTATCTGTGAGGTTGAACAAACGTAAACGTATGTTCGTCGCTTCGATGTTCGACCTTTCATTTTATAGTACATACAACTCCTCGCATACACAGGGGCAGTTCCTATAGTAGCGGTAAGTCAAGAGTATCTTCTGTCCAGAAACGATACCTTTTCGCGTCCCGGCGAATTGAAGGGGCAAATGCGTCAAGAGAACACAGTTCTCCAAGTATCGAAGGAAATATCAATTTCATTAATTTCGATCTTACTACATCAAATGTAATGCTAGTGAATTATTGAGATAATTATGATTAAAATAAGTCCAAACACGATATAAATCGGATTAGCTTTACCGACTTAGTGTAATTAACAAAATTGAAGGATCATTTCCTTAAAAATTCCCCAGTTATTCTTAAAAGTCGTATTTAATCTATTAACATAATTTTAAAAAAATATTTTAAAATTCACTCCTTTATTTCGGGTTGGTGGTGCCACATAGTACGAGACTGTTCAAACTTCTAACCAAATGGTCTACGTTAGATGGCGTTAGTATTCAACTACTAGATTACGTAATTGATATAAAATTCATTAATATTTCGATTCTTACGAATTACTCATTAACATTTGCAATTGGAGATTGTAATTGAGGATTTTGTTTGTCGTTAATTATTTATCAATTATTACCTAAATCGATGTCCTAAGGTAATTTTAAATAGAGGTAGGGGGAGAACGCTGTTTTCGAGTTACTAACATGAGGGGAGTAAGTTAAACAGCTCCGGGATACAACATTGTATTAAAAAAATTAGATGGCAAAATTCAATTTTTAATGAATAGATGTAGTTATAATATATACCCTACTAATCACAAAACAAAACAAACTCAAAGTCTTTTTTTCTAAACCATACATGGTAAGGCAAATAATATGTATTTAATAATTACTAGAGATATTCATATATGAATTATTTTATGACATGTTAAAACGTGTAATGAAAAATATGTAAAAAAAGTATATTTGTTAGAAATTATATATATATATATATATATAAGTTGTACCACTTATTTTCATGCAACGAACTATCTAGTTAATTATAATTCAAGGTCTCAAATGAGCAATACGTTTTCCTTTCTATGTCTTACAACTTTTCGCTACTACCTGCTTGAAAACGAGGTTGCAGTTCTTTCCGGTTTTAGTTGGGCTGGAGGTCGGTTTATTCTTGTTAGTTCTCGTGCTCTACGTGCAGCAAAAATGTCGTAAGTATTAAATCTTTCTGTATCTTAGCAATCTGAAGCTGTAATGCATTCTTATTATTTATAAAATTTATTTTAATTCGTCCTGTAAACATATTTATTAATATTTACACGAAATAAGTGTAATTTTAAATAATGTAGTAATGTTAATTTTAAGCATTTAATGTTTTCGCATCATAAAGTACTTCGTGACTATACACTTTTATTCAGTTGTTATTAAATTCTAATATTTCAAATTAATGTAAAGAATTGTCTATTTATTTAAAAAAAATAACTGCTTTATATTGGTTTTCTAAAAGAAATTGAAACTGAAAAATTATTTTAAGATGTAAGCTAAAAGGGTTTTCATTCAATATGCTTCCTTTATAATGTTTTTATAGTGGTTCTAATTATAGCTTTTGATAGACAGATAATATAATTTATATTTGTTAGATAATTTTTAAGAAAATTAATACTATAATTTATACCAAATTTAATGTTTGAAATATTTAAATGTAAGATACATGCTTGTTCAGTTTTACAATTTTTTCTTTTAACTACTGTTTTTTGAAAACATGCACGCATTATTAAGACATATGTGAACAATAAACCATACTTAGATTTTCCTTAAAAAATTTCGTTTAATATCATATTCTTAGATGCATAAGAAAAAGGAAACATTTGTTCTTAAAATGCTATGTTGTAATTTTTAAACTCATGTTCAAGAATAATACATAAAAAATATCTTTTAAAGCGATTAATAAATATATTTCATTATTTTAGTTCATACAAAAAATATGTTTATATTTCAATATTGTAATATTGTAATGTTTTTATGTATTCTTTAATAATTGTCTGTTGCATTAAAACTATTGAGTCCCTGATAACTTGGATATTTATAAAATTAATATTTTAACACGTTAAGCGCCACGAAAATTTTAAGCATTTTCCCATAGAGTTTGTCTTTTGTAGCAAAGAAAAGTAGGAATACTTATGAATTGTTTGGCGTTACAACGTTTGCGTTGCACTGTTATCAACTTAGTTGCCTTATTAAACATTTTTATTTCACATCGGTTGTCTTGAATGTTACGATTGTTTTTTAGTCATTCAGAAGCGTCAGTCACCAGTGGCTGACATGGCGCTTAACGTGTTATCTTGCATAAAAAATTGTACTATGCTGTATTATAGCATATTCCTATGCATATCAAATTGTTATATCAAAGCTTTGATACTTTTACTTTTACAGCTTTTCAATCATTAAAATTTATTTGTTTCTGTAATTGATTCAATGAATTAATGATAAAATATATATTATCTTTTCCATTAACATGTTCCATGTCCAACCGATTTTTAGTTACATTTCGTTCAGGCCACGTGGAGCATATAAGTACGCTTCACGACGCCATTAATGCGGTATATATAAAACTTCCACCGAGTCTGAACGGAAATTTCAGTGTGGTGCATATACGCTCCACGTGGCATTGAACGTGTTAAATATTAATTTAAATAGAATATTTAAAATAATTAATATTTTATTTAACCATAGTTCTTTTAATTTTTTAGGTCTAAAGTTTCACGTGATACGCTCTATGAATGCGTGAATAGTGTAATTCAAAATTCACAAGAGAAAAAGAGGAAATTTTTGGAAACTGTGGAACTCCAAATTGGTTTGAAGAATTATGATCCACAGAAGGACAAACGTTTCTCAGGCACCGTCAAGTATGTTTCCACCTGACATTGAGGATTCTTTTCGGCTTATGATGAATATTAGTACTTTTTCTTCTTCTTTTTTTTTTAACTAATACCCGAAAAGACTGCCTGGTATATAGTCAGGAAGCTGGGTTTTACCTGGCGGACCTTTACCCAAGGTCTTAAATAAATTGGGGAGGTTATTTACCGTTATTTTTATTACAGGATCATAACTTATGATCCTGCTGGTAAGTTAATATATAGTGCGATGAATATTTCATTGATTCAAGTATTTAAGCCAATGTTCAATGATGGTAACTTATCCTGCATGTATTATCTGAATCAATAATGTAGATAATTTAAATGTAACTGAGAACATTGATTTTAATAATTTCATTTGCAATGTTCATAAATCTAAAGGAATAATTATTACATTTTAAAGTATATTTATCGATATAAATATTAATAATATCTATTATTACAATCAAATATTCAAATTTTGCTGCATCAAGTTTCTTGAAATATGAACAAATCTTAAATTTGTTTTAGTTTCTAAAAACAGTTATTAATACAGTGCAATATTTTGAGCGTGGAAATTCATATGCAAGTCAGTTTATACTAAATATAAAAACACGGTTATATGAGAAATGTAAATTTAATAAATTTATTACATAATTCATTTTTTGTTAAAGATTGAAGAACATTCCAAGACCAAAGATGCAAGTTTGTGTTTTGGGTGATCAGCAACATTGTGATGAAGCTAAGGCTAACAATATTCCATATATGGATGCGGAAGCATTGAAAAAATTGAACAAAAATAAGAAGCTAGTTAAAAAACTAGGTAAAATTAATAATTGATAATTTTAAAGACTGAATATGTTAATACCTAATTTATGTTTCTTTGTCTTCCTAAAAGCACCATTGCTAGTTCATAATTTTGTAGTTTTGGTTGTCGAAAGGAAGAAGATTAAATTCTTCACTTGGTGAGGGCGTTGCGTTTTATTGCCTCGCACCTCAATCCGTGATGAGACATGAACATAAAATTAAAATTTGTTAATTTTTATGTTGATTTGTGAAAACTTCTGAAATTAATTGCAAACACTTTTTCTTTTAGCTAAGAGGTACGATGCCTTTTTAGCCAGTGAATCTTTAATCAAACAGATTCCTCGCATACTTGGTCCTGGTCTTAACAAGGCTGGTAAATTCCCTGGTCTTCTTTCTCATCAAGAATCAATGGTAGGAAAAATTGACGAAGTCAAAGCCACGATCAAGTTTCAAATGAAAAAGGTAATACTTTAATTATGAAAATGAATTCTATTAGTTTTTAATAAAAGTATATTAAAACTGTTCATTGTTACTATACTATACTTTAAAAAATTTACTTACAGGTATTATGTCTGTCGGTTGCTGTAGGACACGTGGAAATGACTCCAGACGAACTGGTGCAAAATATACATCTTTCAATTAATTTCTTGGTTTCATTATTAAAGAAACATTGGCAAAACGTTCGTTCTCTCCACATAAAGTCTTCCATGGGACCTCCTCAAAGACTGTACTAATTTTATTAGTATAATTATACAAATGAATAAAAGAGGAACAAGACAAATTATGTTGTATTTCTATTATGCGTAATATCCTGCAATGTGTTTATAAATTATTGTAATAAAACAATACGTTCAAGTATCGTGCACGTATTTCTATAGACTGATAATATTTATACTAATTGTAAAATCATATACATTATTAAATAGTAATAATAGGAATATTGTTTATAAACAAGATGTTCTTTTCGTGGCTATAACTATACCAGTATGTATGAAAGAAACATTTTATTACTAACATGTTTTACTGATATACAAAAATTTGACTTAATACAACCTTTCTATTTAGATATTGTTTATTAAGTTTTATCATAGTTCTAATTTATTAAAGTATATTAGGCTATGTATTAAATGAGTGCACTATGTATATAAATTAAAGTGAATAAATAAGAAGAAAATATTTATAAAGTATTTTTATAAGATATTGTGAGCTTTAAATCGCTGAACTGACCCACACTAATTTATCCATACATAAACTTTAGGGATTAATGCTATGATACAAATTCTATTTTCGACTACCTTCGAGGGGGCTGTTTAACACTTCCCTTTCAAAGAGCATATGGTGTCTAATTTCGCTTTATAAGCAGTTGCCGATGCGGTCGTAAGACTGAAGACATATCCTTTCCTTGTTCAGTTTTACAATCGGATGTGAAGCAATTTCTAATATTGCAAACTCAACAATTATAAAGTATCAGTAGGATATTCTGACAGACTGAATATTTGGATGACAACGTGTAATGTACATCTATAGAAACGCGTTGATAAAAGTGAACAAATTTTTGTCTAGTGCGTAAGTATAAAAAATTTTCCCTATACGTATAATAAATTCTTATTTATTTAAATACGTAATTTTAGAGAAGCAACGTGATCTTCCTTTGACAATTTTCTACAGTTAAAAATTGGAGACTTTTATTTACTAAAAAAATATCGGACATTTTTTATAAAAAACAAAGTATGTATTCATCTACACTTCATTAACTGTCGTACACTCTTACATATTTTAACATTTCTCAATATATACTCTTTGCCCTGTATATATACAGTTTTAATAATTTATTATATTCACACGACATGATTTCAATGTGATATGTTAAGACTGATCATTACACTTATAAAATACGTGTAGTTTGGTCAAATTAAGCGATAACAACTATCTATTTGTGTAATACAAGTGTGCTCGTTAACTTTCTCAAATTGTCTATCGTAATCAATTCCTACCCGAAACCTTGAGAACATGATTCAACAGAGAATGAGAAAATAAAATGAAAAGAAACACCGGGGAGGGAAACATTGTTGAAACTGTTGAAGTAAACAATCCTGGTCGTGTTTGATTAACAAAGTAGCGCAAAGTGCACTCCCGAAGGTACCTAAAATGAACTCGAGATTTTTATCAGCGATAACAGCTGAAGGGAGATAAATCAAAAACCGTCAGTAAGTGGTCAGACGATTATTATCAAAGAAACAGTGAACGTATCAAGTTTTCAAATATTCCTTTTGTAACGACGTAGATCGTGAAAAGTTATTTTGTGTGTGTCGGTGAATAAAAATGCGATTAGCAAAGTTGTTTCTCTTCAGTGGAATTAAATGATACGGAAGAATAGAGTTTGCAACAATGATCTACAATAAAATATTCTTAATAGGATTATGATTGACATGGTAATGACATATTGATCAAGCTTACGAAATCGTTCAAAGAAACTCGCTTCTTTTTCGTATCATGTTTATGATCTTTTGAATAGTGCGGTCGATGTGAAATAACGGAACGTTATTTTTTTTATCAGTGTCGGTAGTTTCCTGGTTCACAATTTTTCCAGATTTATTTACACACATATAGCGTCTTACAAAATTCAGTTTTATAACAAAATTATAATAGCTTTTTGTCATTCAATTTTTTAAACAATTTGGTAGAAGCGATAAATTACTTTTCACAGCGACCGTAATTTTTCATTGAACTTATTCGCGGTTCGAATATTTTTATTTTAAATTAATAGACCGGGATGTGTACAAGCTTTTAGCCGTTAATTTCTGCAAAAAGAATTTTATAACTATCGAAAGGAGTCCATTATTTTCTAGTGTATTATGCATTGTTGAAATAAGTGACTAGAGTTAAATGTAAGAATTTGTACCGGATTATAGCTAATATCATATTGGATAATCATCGTAAACATGAATTGCATTAACTTTTTCCATTAATTGAAATATATGCAACCCAAATATTAAAATTTTCATTTCGATTTTCAGTTCCTCAAAGAATATGATATTAAGGAAGCAATTACAATTTTTGATTTACGCGCTACGAAGTCTCTACGTATTAGCCGGGAACGATTCAATTAAGATAAATGGATATGAAACGACAGATGATGCTGTACAATTTTTGTCGTTAGATTATATAGAAAACACAACGAATATTGAAACTGACGATGTGTATTTACAATCATTTAAAAAAGTCGAAGATTTTTTTGATGAAACAACACAGACTCATCGAAACGAGCTCCTACCAAATGATTACCCGAATAGCAACGGTGTTAATATATCAAGCCGCGATACGCTAATCATCGACTTCGTCGAAAAATTTAGACATGGGTTTAATGCAATAGACAAATTAAATGATAATGAGATTTTTTTACTGAATGATTCGGAAAATAAACAATCGATATGTAATGTGGCAGGTACTTTTGAACAAATCTTTCTTATTTCACAATTAAAGTATTTTTAGTTATTAAAGTAAAATAGAAATATAAATAAAATATTATAATCTTGCAATTACTACATAAAAGGGTCTTAAATAATATTTATTTTACTTACACTTCCAACAGCACTATTATTATATGTCAATGAGTTTTCTGTTACTAAAAATGAAATATTCTTTCTATGGAAAATAGAAAAAGGCAATAGTAATTGTGTTTTAATTCACATAAAGACTATATGTAACTATGTAATAACTAATGGTTATGGCTATGATATTATTATAAATGGAACTGTATCAACACCTATAAACACACCTGTTGAAGATACTTCTTTTACTGTAAATTCAACAGTAAAAGGACTCAGTCCATACACAACATACTCTTGTTCAGCACATGTTGCTAGTAAAACAGGAATAAGTGAATTTAGTAGGTCAATAAACATAACAACATTAGAAGATAGTAAGTATTTATACAATATACTAAAAATATATTATAATTATTTTTAATTGCTACCTAAATATAATATGCATTATAATATAATGTGAAATCGTATTTTGTAAGTATCAATGAATTATTTTAGTAAAAGTAATGAATCGAATGGTGTAGAATGAATATATTAGGAAAAATATTATTTCTACATATACTATTTACTTTTTTAGTACCATCTATACCTGAACTTAATGTTATAAACATAACACATTCACAGTTCATAATTGCATGGAAATCACCAACATATTTAGCAGGAAGTCTACATGATTTTGAAATTACTCTTGAATGGGAAGAACGTTTTTCAATACCAGATTGGTGTCAAAAACTATTTAGAAACATGACAAAATCTTTTAATGGATCTATGTTTTCATTTGAGTATACAGAAGCAGTAGCATATACAAATTATAAAGTAAAGATTAGAGCCAAAACAGGTGCAGGTTGGGGAAATTACAGTGAATATTTAATATTTCAAACACCACCTAAAGGTAAATTTTGTATTATATTGTATAATGCTTGTCTAAGAAATACTCGATTTTATGTCATTGATATATTTAGTTCCAGATATGGTAACAAATTTGTCAATGTTTTTCACAAATAATAAAAATAATACAAATGCCATGAGTACTATTTTAACATGGGGCTTCCCATGTTTGTTGAATGGGAAAATAGAATATTTTAATGTGTTTGTACATGGAACTAGAATTAATTATCCACCTCACTCTTTTTCAATTAAAAAATGTATTTCATATAATATTATAAAAAATTATATATTTGTTATGAACTTAGTGGAGTTACGAGCAGAGTATAATTATACTGTAGAAGTATCTGCTAAAGTTGAAGATGTTCAGGAATTAGGAGTGCCAGCAAAAAGTACTATTTTATTTCCACCTGGTAGTATGTACCTACATTTTACTTTCATAAAACAATATAAATTAATGATTTTAATAAAAATCTGCCATACATATCTTGTATCTCATTAAAGATGCATATAAAATTATAATTTCATACTTTTACAGTTCCATTTCAACCAGATGAAGAATACATAAAATCTATAACAATAGATCCATCTAAGGCACGAAGAACTACAACATCAGTCACTCTTTTACTTCCACTATTTCCTGATACAAATGGTGATATTATTTCCTATGCTATTATAGTATCAAAAGCTGAACACAGTGTTGCATCGAATACCAGATTTAACTTAACAAATCATACATGGCCAAACATATCTTCTTGGGAAGAAGCCATGCTACAAGATTTTACAATACCATATCAAGCCACTAGATTATATTGGAATCCTTATCGTAGGTGATACATTTTTTAGTATAAGTAAACAATTTTATTAAAACATATATAACTGGTTATGTATTTATACATTTGTATAGCTAATTATGTTGCTGATTATGGTGATGTAAAGGCAGTAAAGTATACGCTTGGCGAAGATACAAATTGTGAAGAAATTTCATCTAACACTAATAAACGAGTTTATTGTAATGGACCTCTTAAACCAAATATGTGGTATCACGTTAGAATGAGAGCTTTTACTCGTTGTGGTTATGCTGACTCTACAATATTTTTAATTAAAACTAGTATGTATTTTATACTTTACTATTTTAAATTTTCATTGTTAATTAAATATTTTATTTGGTTTTAGATGCTGAAATAAACATTGGACTTGTTAGTGGGATTGTTTTTGGTATTCTATTTTTAGGAATATTAACAACAATCATGTTACTAGTGCGCAAATGTTCACCTCAAGTGTGAGTATAATATTTTATTTATATTAAAATATACTTTACTGTTATTTATATAATTGTTATAAATAAAATTTACAACAATATTCCTAATTACTATAAATTTTGAGAGTAATATGAATATATTACTATACATATTATGTTTATAAAAACTATATACATTGAAACGAATCATTAACTAACATTACTAAAAGGAATCACTTGTACATAAGTAAGAAATAATCAATATTTCTCTTATGACTCAGGAGAATACTATAGTTAGAAACAACAAGGTCACTAAATGCAGATGTCAACTATACATAGTAAAATACACATAACATTATATTCAGTAGCCATCAAACTTATTTTGTCACATAGTAAAACATTTTCTATTATTGTGCTCAATTTGTATGATTATTAAATACTATTGCTACAGATGTTTTATTAGAAAATTTATTATAGTAAAAAAAGAGCCATATAATTATGAACTGAAGTCTGTTCTTTTTTAACATGCTCTACAATTTCTTACACGCTAGCACTTTCAAAATAGAAATGTTAATATATAAGTATATAGTAACGTAATGAGACTATATCATAACTAAATTAATAATTTATCTTTTTGTAGGATACTTCAAAGATTTCTACATTCTGACATGTCCGGTTCACCAGTTCCTGTACCTTTTTCAAAGAAGAAATTTTTGGCTCATTGTCAACAACTTATCGATAATCCTGGGAAATTAAGTAACGAATTTCAATTACTTCAAACTCTTAGCGTGGACTTACAGATGCCAACAAATAATGCCTGCTTGCAAGCTAATAAAAAGAAAAACAGATATTCTGACATCTTGCCATGTATAAATTTGTAATTAAAAAGAGTAGACTATAACTGTGTAAAATGTATGTCTCTAAATTTATTTTATATTTCTAGATGATTTCTCAAGAGTCAAATTAGAAGTAATTGACAATGATCCTAATACTGATTATATCAATGCATCTTTTATACGAGTAAGTAAATTGAAACATTAAGGCCCTACATCCTGAACTTACATTTCATATATAATATTTGTAGGGTTATACTGGAGAAGATGAATATATAGCATGTCAAGGCCCAAAGGAAGAAACAACATTTGATTTTTGGAGAATGGTAGAACAGTATAACATTAACATTATAGTTATGTTAACTCAATTAATTGAAAAGGGCAAGGTAATATGTCAATTACAATATAGTTAAATCTGTATTAAATTATAAATAACATAAATATTCTTTTACAGGAGAAATGTTATCAGTATTTTCCAACGATCAGAGAAACTTTTAGATATGAAAATATGACCATAAAGTGTACAAGTGAATTGGATTATAGATACTATACTCAAAGAACATTAGTCTTACAAAAGGTACAAATTTTATACATCTTATAAAATATTAATTCGTAATTTAAATTGGTTTAATTGCAAATAATAATATATTACAGGAGAACAAAAAAAGATATATAACACATTTACATTTTAAAGATTGGCCAGATCATGATATTCCAGAAGATTTTGACCCTATGATTCATTTCTGTCAAGTCATACGTCGTAATTTTTTAGCTAATAAAGGATATATTGTCATCCATTGCAGGTAAAAACATAAAAAAACTTTCTATACGTTATACAAATTTTCCGAATTTTATGAATGTAAACTATTCTTTTTTATAGTGCAGGAATTGGTAGAACAGGTACCTTAATAGCAGTAGATATGCTTTTACAAAATTTACGTGACAATAGAAAGTTAGATGTATTTGGAACTGTATATAGATTGCGACATCATAGGATAAATATGGTACAAAAAGAAGTAAGAAATTCAGAATACTTTATGTTTATACTAATATTAATCATATACTTCTAAATTTATTGCAATTTTTCAGAGTCAGTATGCTTATATATATAATTGCATAAAACAAGTACTGAAGAATCCATATTGCTTAAAATCTTGTAAGTTATTCACATAAATTAAAATTTATTTCTATAGTTACTAATTTATAGTAATCATTTTTTTCTTATAGATAAGCCTCCACCTATGGATCCATTAAATGAAAACACTTCTAAGAAATCAAAAACAATATCAAATTCAAAATTAAATCTAGTCAATAATTTTGAGTACATGTAATAATTTATTGTAGAAAATCGTTATTTATATATTTATTCCTATTTGTACAATATTAGTATTCATATGTAGAAAGAAAAATCCTAAAAATAATAATATTTTATTTTATTATCACAGAATTTACACATTTATCAATAACATGAAAATAACATATTTTATGATTATGAACAAAGTAACTCATTTGTATCACAAATCAAATTTCTATTGGATCTTTTGTTCTATAGCATGGATGGAATTAATTTGCAATCGTGGATTATTTTGTTTGTTATGTGGATTATTTAATATTCAAATAGATTAATACCACAGGTTGGCATTTAAGTAGCATTCATATGTGATTTAAAAGTCCAATTAAGTAGTTACTCAATGTATATATTGCAACTGAATTGTTTTAAAAACTTCTTAAAATTTAATAATAAAATTAATATAAAATTACAGTCATCTCAAATTTACAAACTGTATTTAAAGTAATGATATTATTGTTTACATATGCATTGTTCAAGTAATTTGTCACAATTTAAATTGAATAAAATATAGAATATTGTAATATTTAAATTAGTTTGTATCATAACCTAATGTCACCTAACATTCATATAAAAGGAGTTCTACTATAGTTTAAAATAAAATTTGTTTCAAAACATAAAATTAAAATATTCAAAGTGAATAGAATCATAAAAAAAGAAATTATTCTTTTATAGTTATATATATTTTAAATTTAATTATATAAATATATATCACATGAAAAACCATATTTATTCATACTCACAACATACTGTCATTTGTTACCAGAAACTCAGTTACCACATTTTTTCCTTGATACATAATATAAATTAATACTTCTATCTATCTATCTAATTTATTTTTCAATAAACTAGTAACGATATTTTGTAGAATAATCTTTAGGTGAAACAACTAGACCTCTTCCTTTTCTGGCACCTCTATAAACTGTTTCAATGATATCAATCATTTCTTGTTTGTCTTCCAATGTCCAATTTATTTTGTTATTATTTCCTGTTCCTAAATCTATCATTATATGTTTGTTTCTAAAGAAAAACATAACTGTACAAGGATCGTATAATTCGTACCTGTGAAAAATAAAAATTATATATCTCTTAGAAACACATTAGCAAAGCTTACAATTTATTTTTATAATATGAAATAACAATAAAATTTTTCTTTATTTTTAATACAAATTTTATAAGTTTATTATTTAAATTTATTTTATATTCAAGTAATTTTTTGAAACTTACATTTTATTAAAGTCAGGTACTTGTGTAATATCAACTAAATAAATGACGGCAAAGTTTTTAACTTTTTCAGCAATGTTATAAAGAACTTCATCCATTTTCATACACATTGGATCCCAATCATGTCCGAATCTAATAACCTAAACAATCACCATTATTGTGTAATTATAACCTAACTACCCCAGACACTATAAATAATCCAAAATATTAGAGATATAAAATTTTGTAACAGAATATGATATAAAACTTACAACTACTCTATCTTCTTCGGATAATATTGCTTGGTCCACTTGCCATCCGTTGTGTAAATGAGATAACATATACGACATTGTGTTGTTTTTTGATAAGTATAAGTTAAAGAAACAAAAAATACAAATATATATATTCAACACTGATTTGGAATCACACTTCAAATACTTTGTAATATGTTAAAAAGGATTAGAAAAACACTAAAAGACATAGTAAAAACAATTACAAATGTGTCGCACACAATATATTCTTATGCTGTATGAAACACAACAGAAAAATTGTTCAGATTTCTTCTCGTTTTACTAAAATGACATATCAATCTATAAGTTATGCACACCACAATGTGTAGGTACCTACAACGCTAAATAAAATAATACAATTGCTAAACTTTTCTATTATATCATTGATTAATGATAATCATGTTGGTATACCATTGAATACAGTAAATACTGAATTATTTATTTACCTGTTTGATTTCATTCGACATACCATGTGATTCGTTGGTATTACAATTTTATCCAATAATGAACATGCGCATGTCCAGTAACCAATCAGATTTTCATTCTTTCGGTATAGCAAAAATAACTAAATCGGTGTCCGCAGCACTCTAGTAACATTCCCCTCATCAAAATTATTTAGTCCATACCTACTTTTTACCTGCACATTGCACTCGTACTGCTCAGATACACAGTCTCGGCCAGGTTTGAATAACGGTAGTGGGGGAAATGTCATCCAATCCAGTTGAAGAGACAAACTCTAAATTGTCATTTATAGAATATCGTCAACTCCATGCCGCAACTGGATTCTCGAATTTCCGTTTCGAGTCTTCTCGTAACCCTCGCAATACTATGCGTTCTAAATTATAAGGGAACCGATTTTTTTAAGAACCGACCGTTTTCATTTGCGCGACCACTTCGCTGATAATTACACTTATTATTTTTGTTAATTTTTCGTTTCAATAAAAATAGTTTTGGTCAATTGTATATCAACAGTAGGACCTTTCATCAGTAGTACATATAAATACGTTTAATGCAGTATTTACATACAAATATGAACACTTTTATATAAATATAATTTAATAATTTTCATAACATTAGTTATTATTATATTAACATATATAGATATATAGCTTTTTCATTTAATATATAAAAAAACAATGCAAAATTTTCAAGTTCAGGTATACAACTGTAAACAGTGGAAAACTGTACAAAGTATAAAATGCAATAGTCACAGATTTTTAGGATGACACAAGTATTTGTTTAAGAATTTTTTAAACTTAGTTTCAAATATTCTTGAATATTTCATACTGTATTGATACCAATACATGTCGAGATACAGAATAAAATATTTAAGAATAATTAAAATCTCTTTTGTTTTATAAATAAATTTCTACTTATAGTAGACTTACTGTGAACAAAAATTTACTCCTAAAAAACCATGTCCATTATTTTTTTTGGACAGTTTATATAACAATAAAAAGTAAAAATCTAACAACCTGGAAGATATGTAACAATGTTTTAGTAACTACTAAGTTGTTTATAATAAAACAAATTAAGGTAAATGACCCTTTTATCGACTATATAAGAATGTGATTACTTTATAAATAATATTATGTACTGCAATATGTAAATACTTTCAGTAAATATTATCAACATTGGTAGTACTTTTGTTTTCTTAATTTAAACAGATTTCAAATATAAGCTATTAAAAAGAAAACGAATTTATAACAAAAATTACATCATCTTCCTAATTAATTGACAGTAAAATTATTTTGTTGATCAATTTATAATTTTATGAATCTATACTCTTTTATTATTATAAAATAAACAACTTCGAAAACATTAATTTCTGAACATAACTTTTAATACAATTATCAATTGATAATAATAAACAGAATATTAAAGTACTTTAACTTTTAATATTTAGGTGTAATTTTTACTAATACGAAACAAACAACATTGATAATAGAAACATAGTCATGTATAGGCACATTTACCTTAGAAAAACTCTATGTGTAATAAAAAATATACAAATTTCTTAACTGTAGTAAAACAAATAAAGTTCAGTAATGAAATACTATACTGTTGGTCCAACTGTGCGTTTAACAATAAAACTTTCAGTTTTATTTGTCTTCGGGATGGTTATTGTAATTATTACTTATTTCAGTATTTTTCCTCATTAGATGCCTAAATTATTAGGCAGGCATACATCAACAAAGGCAATGCTAAATTGTCAACTTGATTTGTTAGTGCTTCAACAAAAGACACAGCAAAACTTAATGAGAGCACTCTCAAAAATAACCAACAACTATTTATGTAACCTATTTAAAAAGTATAAATTAATTTTGTTGTTACATATTATACAATAAAGGGTGACACAAACATATAAAAAGATAATATTAATTAACATTGGTAGAAAGCATATACTACATAAAAAAAATATTAAAAATAATCGAATTAATTAAGCAAATAAAGAAGTATTTACAAATAGCTTTTTACAAGGAGACCTCCAACTTTTATATGGTTGTTTTACGAAGAAGATTAATATAATATTTTTTATTTTTCTTATTTTTAATATACTGTCAGCAAAATAATAATTTGAATACTGTAAGGAATTCGAAGATTTTATCATTTATTATTACAGTATAGCCTTGTTGGAATGAAACAATATATCATGAAAGACAAAAAGTGTATTCTATAATATTCTAAAATGTTACATATATTTCATGTTATTTATATGCAAAATTTAGCACATTTATTTACTGAAATGTTGTGAGATCTCCTTGGTAGTGCTATTGTTTGTAATTTAATTTAAAAATAAAAACTATACAATTTATACGTACCTATAAATGTTAAAATGCATATCAATGCAGCTTGACAACATATGGAACCAAATGTTCCTTCAATGGATTTATTTGAATGACTCCATTTATGAAAACCCCATTTACTGCCAATACAGCTAGCAGCAGTATCACCTATTCCAACTGTCAGAATACCACTAAATAAAGCCACTAACGGAACATTATTACTAGGCATCCAAAGTGGAAAAGACAGACCAGAAAGTAAATATAAAGCTGTCAAAGAAATCAAACTGTCTTTCTCATCCGCATATACATTAAATCCTTGTTCTAATACATCTCCAAGAGGTGATATCTTGAAATACCTTATTAACTGAAAATAAGAAATAATAAAAATTTGTAAGTACAAAAAAAATACAAATATTGTAAACTTCTATAATTTAAAAGAATTGAAGCCAATGTACCTCAAGAAATATGAATAATCCCATTATTATACCACTAGCAAGATATAACAATGTTTGTTCATATATTATACCTGGTATATATACAAGTACAGCGAATAAGTGAAAAGTTTTTCTGACGGAAGTTGTTGCCTGAGAATTCCACAGTATTTGAAATACAACTGCTAATATGCTTAATAATAAACAAATAGCCCAATATCCGATTATAACAGTCTGTAACATTAAAAAATGTTAAATATTATTATTTGTTTATGCAACAATACAAACAAAAGAAATTATTATAAAAACATACTCTACGTCTGGAACTGAAAATGTATGAGAACATCCATGTTAATGGATTTTGGTCTAATATTATGTGCGTTATGGGTAAAAAAATCACTAGTAAAAAAGTGATTATCAATATATAAAAGTATTTGGTTACGCGAAATATTGGAATATATCCACAGATTAAACAAACCAAGATTGTGTATAGTATTGCAACCTGTAATTACATTGCATTAATTTTTATTTACAAGTATTACAATTTGATCCAAAACAATGTGTTCGAAATACCTGTAATAAAACTGTAGCAATATCATCATCATGTATTGGTGGTAAGTGGTATCGTAGTGGTAGATTAGTTACTGTAGACATAATAAATAAGATACAACCATGCACTACTGCTGTTGCTTCTCCAAGAGTAAAACAAAAAGGGAAAGTAGACATCAGTTGAATAATACTCCATGTACCCACACTTCCTACGCTTAAGCCCCATGCCACACTTAATAGCAGTCCTGTTCTTATTTATTAAATGAAAACTTAATTTAAATAAATAAACTTATTATACAGCTCTTAATACATTGAAATATATCTTTATTTGCTTTTGAATAACTTGTGAAATATTGTTGAGTAATTTGTAAATCGTCATACCTTTATTTGCTATAAGAAGGTATAACATTGAAGTTATAATTGCTGGTAAAAAATATATTACTTGAAAATCTCTGACCACAACTTTTTTCATTGATAGTCGTAAATACAGACATATTGAACTTATAACAAGGCCAACACCTGTAAGGCCTACAATAAGGCAAATTTCAGAGTAACTGGTATTTTCTTTTAGTAGATTTAAGATTGCACTGAAACCTACTAATGTTCCAAGCCATAATCCACTACTGGCTTTTGCCCTAAAAATATTTTTCAATATTGCAACATATTATTATAATGTAAATACTACTATAAGTTCTTAATTTCATATATAAATTTAAAATATTATATGGATATTTTATGATCAAGACATTGCATAAGATTTAAAAACAAAATAAATTACATATGTATATATTTAACAATATTTATAATAAAAATATTACTATCATTTTGTTTTTTATTTGCATTATTTTGGTTTTGTCATCATATTTCATATAAATTAAGTAAAAGGTATATTTAAAATAAATTATCTAGTGTTAGTAGATAAAGACCAAATTTTATTGTAAGATATGATTTCCTTAGTAAGTTATCAATAATTATTTAAAAAAAAATTACATAGAAGTTTATAGGACAAAAACATTTTTATTAGATTTCGAGGTTAGATGACATCATCCTTCATTTTCAAATAATTTAGAATCCACTTACCGATGTTCAATGCCATTAGTTTTTAAGCTTTGTAATATATTTTCTTCTAAATAGGAGTATTTTTTTATTAGAAATTCCATTTTTGATAAAATAAAAAAGTATATACGTTTTCACACAATTAATAACATGTCTCTTTTAGAATGGAAATGAGTAATAGACAGTATGAAGATCACCCTTTCCCGTTTATCTTTTATACACACGTCAATACATACATATTAATAATCATTTTATACACATGCGTAGCAAAAAAGTTAAAAGAATATAATGTATATTATCAAATAATATTATTTTTCTGAATTTTTTTAAATCAATGATAATATGCGAATTTAATTTTCATGTAAATAGTCTATTAAATTTTAATATTTTTATTTATTTTTTGATGTTAT